GTGCTGCCACCTGCGGTCTGGGGATGTCCAGGTCCAGCCAGTGCTGCAGCGGGGCTGAAGCCGCCACTGCGCGGGCTGGCATGAGCTGGCGATGTAGTGGCATGGCTTGTCGCGTCGGCGGCAGTGGCGCCTTCAGCGTCGTTGAGCTGTGCGCAGGGGTCGGCCTGGGCCGAGTTGTTGGGCGGACTGCTGTGCGACGAGGTGTGCCCTAAGTGGGGTTCACTGTCACGGTCACGCTGGGCCGTGTCGCCTGGTGGTGTCGTGCCGTCGCGATCCTGGGTTTCCATGTCGTCCTGGCTATCGTCCACATGGACCGAGCCCAGGGATATGTTGCTGATATCGTCCGACGCGTGGAACGAGTCCAGGGGTGTGTCGCTGATGTCGCTGGCCGCGATGTGCTGGAGCAGCCATGATACGGGGTCGTCTGCGGCCTGATCACCCGTGGCGTGCTGGGCGAGGCCAGCTGGCGGTGGTGGGTTAAGCGGTTCCATCGGTGCCGCGGCGAGCTCCGCCTCGACAAGCGGCTGCATGTCTGTCGGGTGGTGCAGGATCGCATCAGCGAGGTACGCCAGGGCGTCTTGGTCGGGTGGGGGAAGGCCTCTTGGTAGTAAGGCGTGGGCCCGTGAGAGGTATGGCGGCAAAGGTGCCGTGAAAGCTTCAGGGCCGACAAGCTGGGCACGAGCACCCTGGTATTCCAGAAGTAGGCCAAAGTAGCGGGTGGAATACTCGCGGCTGCCCTGGATACGAGTGAGGTTGCGGTTTGTGCGCTGTCTGCCGGGGCCCGCTCTATACCAGATGTCCTCGCACATGTCGAACGCGGTGAGCTGGCGCAGGGCGTCGGTTGTGTCCTCAGAGTCCTCCTGGAAGAGGTGATCGTACTGTGGCAGATGAAGCGTCGCCAGGATGTACGGGACGCAGTCCTCGAGCCATGCCCAGAACACGTCCTGGTGGTCCTCACCTGGTGCCCACGCCGCAGCGCACGGTATGAGCCGGGCGCGGATCATCATCAGGTGCCAGAAAGCGGGGTCCTCCTCGGGTTCGCCCCTAGCGCACAGGGGGGTGGTGAGACCCGTGGGGCTATAGCGGGGCACGACAGCGGGGCTGAAGCCGCCACTGCGTGCCTGGCCTGTATCAACGTCCCCGTCAAGGATCTGCTGCACCACGGTCGAGGCCACGCTGGGGGTGGATTTCGATGCATGTGTCGTAGTTGACAAGGGCGTGCATGCGCTCACGATGGCGCCCAGCGATCCGTTGCCGCACGGACCCGCGGCGGCGGTGCTGTTCACGATCGGGTCCAAAATGGTGCAGTGATCGTACTTGTAGATGCTGTCATCGTAAAGGTAGGAAAGAGTCCCACGTTCAGCATGTCGCAGGAAAACCTCACCACCATGCTGGGGCGCACCGCCTGAAGACGGGTGTGCTCCAGCGAGCGAGGGGAGGGCCAGGCTGCAGGCAAGGCGCCACATGATGGCGAGGCCTGGCGGGCGGCGCGAGCGATGAGCCAAAAGCTGCATGTCAGCACGCATCCTCAGATACCCCTGCATGCTCATGTACATTGCAACAATCACGCCCCCTGCAAGATGACGGGTGTCCCTACACCAGATAGCTTGCGCGTGCTGCTGCCAAAACTGACATGATATGACAAGAAGGAGATAAGACGCGAAGAGGGGAGGGATGCCTCTGAAGGCGCTTCCTCGGAGGGCTGAGGCAGGCTCTCTGAGGCACCTTCAATAGGGTTCCTGGGTGACCCGACCCTTGTCTTTGCCTTTGTCAGCCCCTGGGGGCCCCGTCCCTGGGGTGACCTGGCCTGGCTGGTCGATCCACCCGCAGACAACCACGGGATCGGCAACTGATGCAGCTTCCTCCTTCTTAGTTTCGAGAGTGGCCACCTGTGGCAGGTGGATGGTGCCCCCCGTGAGGTGCCCGAGGAGGGCCTGGATGTCGCCACGCAGTGCAGCGGCTTCGGCGGTTGCCGTCTGTTGCTGGGTGACGACGGTGGCAAGCCCCCGTTCCAAACCTGAGACGTGCTCCGTGAGTGTGGCCTGGGAGGAGAGAACGCCCGCAAGCTGAACCTGCATGTTATCCACCGTGTTGGCAAGCAGCTCGTGCTGTTGTTCCATGTGTTGGATGCGGGTCGTGGCGGCATCTGGCAGTTTGGGTGCCGATGCGAAGCGTTCGCCGAAGGTGTTGAGTTCGTGGGAAGCCACGCTGTATTCATCACCTGATGAGAGGATCTCGACGTCGTCAGCGTCGCCTGGTACTTCGGCGGCTGTGGCAGCGTCCCCTTCGGTGTGGCCCCCACCTTCAGCCGCCACCGTGCCAAGCTGCGGGTCATGACCACCTGATCCTTGGACGGCCGTCTGCTCGGCAGCTCCGTCCGTGCCGTGCGGGGGTGCAGAGGAGCTGCGGCCTGGGGCGCCGTGTGATCTTGCGTGCGGCGTGGCGTCGCGTTTCCCACTGGAGGATCGGTGGCGCTTGGCTAAAGGCTCCTCTTTGGGGATCAGGAGCGGTGCGACGCCCTTGCCTTTGGGCGTGGCAGTCATGAGGTCGTGGAGGTAAGGGCTCTGGGCCGCTTTGGTGAGGAGTGTGCCAGTGGCGGGGCTGAAGCCGCCACCACGGGCTGGCGGCGTCACAGGCTCTGTGATGGTGGTAGGCGTGACGATGGTAACGTTGTCCCTCTTCGGCACCACCTCAGCCAGCGGGGCCTCGGTGATGCTCCACGGGATGGGGCACCCTGCGACCTGTACCGTATATGTGAGTGGGGGACGATGGGCGCGCACTAAGGCAAACTGAGCCGAAGTGGCTGGGTCCCAGGCGGTGTGGTAGACCTCACAGTCCCATTTAACGGACGGGCCCGTGAGGGTCTTGGCGAGCTGGGTCAGCGTGGCGTGGCGTGCCGCAATGCCAGTGATACGGTAGCGCGTCTTGGCGAGGGTGGCTTCGCAGCCGCGGATGCTGACGGCAGCAGCCTTGGCGGCGTCTGACCCTCGTGAAACACGGATCCCCAATAAGCCTGACTTGCCGTGCCTGACGACTCCCAGGGCCTTGAAATCCACCGACTTCTGGAACGCATCTGCCATCGTGATGGGCTGGTCCTCAGGGAACCACACGGTCTGGTACTTGTCTGCAGTGGGCTCGTCTGCACCTACGTTGCTGAGGTCGTAGGTGGCGCCGAGTTGCCCTGAACCCGCCAAGACCTTGTCGACCGCTTGAAGACTGACGCCGAAGGTGGCAGCCAGGGACCTCTTTCCGACGCCCGATCCAAACCTGCCTAGGCTTTTGCAGGGTTCGAGGATGGTGACGGCTTTAAAGTTGCCGTGGAAGAGGGCCTTGAAGGTGTCCTGGAGCTGACTATCGAGCTCCTGGCGGCGAGCGTCTTTCTTGGACTCCCTGTGCTTTTGGTTTTGGCGCGCCTTGTCCTGTGGAGCGGAGTCCCCTCGAAAAGGACCCTTGGCGCGTGGACCACCGTTCACGGGGGCACCTCCCGAGAACTGGTCCTCGAAGGCCTGATGCATGGAGGGGACTGCGGCGATGGCCTCGGTTTCATGTATGGTCGCCCGAATCCAGCATACGTGGTCGGCAGGGTCGATGGTGGCGACGGCTACTTTTTCCGTGCAGGCGACTTCCTTGGTGCCCAGCTGGTACACGGTCACGGGGACGTGCGTGTGGACCACTTTGGGCGCCTTGGGGTGACGCTTCAGCACGGGGACGGCGAGCTCGGTACCGACGTAGTTGTCGTTTTTTGGGCCCATGACAGCAATCGCAAGCTGACCCGTGGTACGCTTACCCTGCTCGAGGTGGTGTTGCAGCAGCCGTTCACCGCTCTCGTAGTCGTGGAGGCTGATACTGGGCTTGTACGTCTTGCCGTCGTCAGGTGATGTGGGTTCGGCGAGGACTGGGACCTTCCAAAAGGCCGGGTCCAAGGCAATGAATTGGGTGTCCGCAGCCTGAAGACGTGCGGACCCAGCTGGTGGGCGTGATGTGTCACCGCCAATGCGCTTAGGCTTGCTGCGCTGGTGGTGATCCAGCGTGTAGCTGATCTGGTTGGCGGCGCACATGCGGATCAAGGCACTGCCGAGCTTCTTCGTGTTGGTCTTGTGCATGTCGTACGTGGCCTGGAGCTCATCCGCGTTCAGCTCGGCAAGCCCGTTGTATGCGGCCGTGGGGCGGTCAGACCCCGCTTGCTTGAAAGCTGCGATGCAGTCCTGCTTGCGTTGGAGGAGAGACCCTTCAGCAGCAGGACGTGAGCTCTGGGGCTGCTTGGAAGAGCGACGGCGCTCCGGCTTACTGGGGGCCATTGCTGCGGGCGCTCTGGAGGGGAGAGGTGACGCGAATCAGTAGGGTCCTGCTGGGACCCCTCCGGTCTCGCGAGGCCTGGGAGTCTGGCTCCGAGGCGGGGCGCTTCGCGTCGCGGCTGCGGTCTGAGTGCAGGGCACTCTCGAGCCGAGACTAGAGAGAGAGAGAGAGATAGAGAGAGAGAGAGAGAGAGAGAGAGAGAGAAAGAGAGAGAGAGAGAGATAGAGAGAGAGAAGAGAAGAGAAGAGAGAAAGAGAAGAGAGAGAGCGAGAGAGAGAGAGAGAGAGAGGGAGAGTGAGAGAGAGAGAGGAGAGAGCAGAGAGAGAATAGAGAGAAGAGAGAGAGGAGAGAGAGAGAGAGAGAGAGAGAGGCAGATATAGAGGCAGAGAGAGAGAGGCACAGAGAGAGAGGCAGAGAGAGAGAGAGAGAGGCAGAGAGAGAGAGGCAGAGAGAGAGGCAGAGAGAGAGAGAGAGAGGCAGGGAAAGAGAGGCAGAGACAGAGAGAGGGCAGAGAGAGAGAGAGAGACAGAGAGAGCAGAGAGAGAGAGAGAGAGGCAGCTCAGTCACACTTAAATCCAGATTCGTCCTCACCGAGTCCCACCACCAAGGGAGCGCCAGCAAGGAGATGCACATATGGGGATCCCCACGCAGTGAATAATTGTACGTAAGAAGTCGGGCAAGCAGCGCCTCGTCGTCGACTGCAGGCGTGTCAACGCCCGCTTCCGAGAGTGCCCCCACGTGCCGATGGGTTCGGGATCGTCCTGGGCCGACGTCGTGATGGACACGGACACCGACATGTATCTCTCGCTTAGTGACGTGAAGGACTACTTTTACGCCTGCGGGCTGCCGCCGGGCCTCGAGAGCTTCTTTTGCCTCCCCGACATCACTGGGGAGGAGCTGAGGGTGGTCGCCCAGGGCGACCCCGCCTTTGGATCCTTGTGGGGCTCCACGGCGGTCGCCCCCGCTATGAAGGTAATGCCGATGGGGTGGGCTTGGAGTTTCTTCCTCGCGCAGGTCTTGCACGCTACCAGGTCCACCGGATCAGGCCCTGGTCGCCCGGCGCGGTCATGCAGGATCGCGTTCCTCCGCCTCCTTTCAGGACGGGGACCGAGTTGGCCCTGCCCTGCCCTACTGCGACAACTTCGTTGCGGCTGCCTCGTCTCTCGCTCAGGCCGACGCTCTCCGAGAAGATTGCAAGCGCCGGATGACCTCGCTCGGTTTCGAGGTCCACGAGGAGGAGGCTGCCCGCCACTGGGCCGAGTCTTTGGGGTTCGCCATCGACGGACTCACTGGGGAGCATCGCCCTAGCCCTGTCAAGGCGCGGCGTCTCCGCCAGGTCTGTCGTCGCCAGCGACCCTGGCTTAGCGGTCGGCAGCTGGAGCGGCTCTTGGGACATGCTACTTTCCAGTTTCTGGGGCATCGGCCGCTACTCTCTGTCTTCCGCAGTTGTTGCACCTTCGCGCAGTGCCACTACCTCCGACCGCGACGGCTCTGGCGGACCGCCGCCGAGGAGCTCCGTGCTGCCGCTGCTCTGTCGCCCATCGCACGGGCCAACATGCGGCGGCCCTGGGCTTCTGAGGTGGAGGTGTTCGACGCCAGTCCTGCCGGCTGCGGGATCATGACGGCGGCCCTGCCCGAGGAGGTGGTCTCTGAGATCGGGGAGGTCGATGAGAGGTTGCGTTGCGCTTTCCAATGCGAGCAACTTGGCGGGCCTCGTGAGCACGCCCTCCGTCCGGCCCCTCCTGTCGAGGAGTCTTTCAGCAACGTTGAGTCCGTCCTCCCTCGCGACTGGTCTCGGCGACGCTGGCAGCCCGCGCAGGACTTCCCTGAGGTCCCGGCGTCCATCTTCCAGGATTTTGATTGGCGCGGGTGCGTGGCCGGCCTCTGGAGAGACGAGGAGCATATCACTATGCTTGAGGGGCGCACGGGGTTGATATCTGTGCGGCGTACCTGCCGGTCGCTGTCCAATCGAGGCAAGCGGCATCTCAAGATAGGTGACAATCTGGGTCTGATCCTTGCCTTTGCCAAGGGACGTGCGGACAACTTCGGCTTGCTGATGCCTTGCAGGAAAAATGCCGCGTTCACGGTTGCAATGGACATGACGATTCGATGGCGTTGGATTCCTTCAGAGATCAATGTTGCTGATGCCGCCTCTCGTCGTTATCTTACTGAGGATCGCCGCAGCCGCGAGCGAGGCCTGGCCCGCCTCAAGCTTCTTCGAGGCTCGGGCTTGGGGCCACCCGCGGCAGCTCGCGTGGGTGATGAGCCGGCTGCTGCCGCCTACAAAGGCCAAGCGGTCCCGTGGCGAGGCATCTGCTGGTCTCCCACAGGGGCCCGCCGGCAGCCGCCCAGTCAAGGGGCCGCGGGTCTCACGGGTGCTGCAGGCGCCGCATCGCCAGGCGCGCTCCATCCCCCGCGAAGGCAGCCGGGGGTTGCCGCCTCCGACGCGCCGCCGCCTGGCGGGGGCCGCCTCAGCGCGGGCGCTGCCCGCCAACGCCGATCGGAGCCGCAAGCTTCAGATCCTAGCGCGGCGGGCGCGGGCGAGGACCCGCCGAGCGGCCGTCGAGGCGGGGGGCCGCGAGATGCAGGAGGAGCTCGAGCTGAAGGGGATCATGGTGAGCCTCCTCGAGATGAAGTCCGTCGGCAAGCAGTCGATCCCCTACTATCTCCAGAAGTTCAGGGAGTTCTTGGACTTCGTGGTCGACCACGGGTTCGACCTCCACAAGGGCGAGGACGTGGGCGAGGCGCTGGTGCAGCTGATGGACTTGTTGTACTTGGATGGGTGGCAGGTCGACCAGGGCGAGAAGCTGCTCGCGGCGGTGAAGCTCGGCATCCCGCGCTTCTCCAGAGCAGGGCTGGGCGGCCTGCCGCGCGCGGCCCGCGCCCTCCGCGCGTTTCGGAAGGCCGCTCCCGTGGCCTGCCGCTTCGGGCTGCCGCACGCGTGGGTCGTCGCGATCATCGCGGCAATGCTCTGGCGCGGGAGGCTGGAGAGCGCCCGCCGGGTGGTGGTGATGCACGATGCGTACCTGCGCACTGGCGAGGCGACGCGGCTCCGGGCCGAGGACTTCGCCCCACCGGTCGGAGACCATCGCGGCCGCGAGCGCGGCGTGCTCATCCTCGGCTCCTCGAGCGCCGGGGCCCCCGCCAAGACGGGCGTGCTGGACGACGCGGTCACCCTGTCGGACTGGGACTTTCCCACCAGCAAGGTACTGGAGCTTTTGAAGGCCCAGCGGGCCCCGCACGAGCCCCTGTTCGTCACGAAGCCCGCTGCCTTCAGGACGGACTTCGATCAGGCGTGCCTCGACCTCGGGCTCGACAAGCGGAACCTCGCGAGCTACCAGCTCCGCCACAGCGGCCCGAGCCGAGACGCCCTCCTCGGGCGACGCACGCTTCCCGACATCATGAAGCGCGGCAGGTGGGCCACCCTCTCTTCAGTGAAAAGGCACGAGAGGCACGGAGTGATGCAGAAGGCGCTGGCCAGCAGCTCGAAGGAGCTGCTCGACTTCGCCGCGGCTGTCGAGTCCTCCATCGTGGGAGCGCTCCTTGGACGGCCGTCCCAGGTGGCCAAGCCGCCCCGTGCCTGAAGCGCCGAGTTGCAGCCGAGATCTTCTCCGGCTCAGGGCAGCTCGCCCGCGCTCTCGCCCGGAGCGGAGTCCCCACTGAGGCCTACGACGTCGCCGATGGCCCCGGTGCTGATCTGTTGCGGCCAGGCGTCGTGAGGCTTCTTCGTGACAAAATTCGTGCTGGCTCTTTTTGTTTCATGTGGTTCGGCGTGCCGTGCAACACTTTCTCTCGTGCCACTGATCGGCCTAACGGGCCGCGCCCTCTCCGCTCAAACACTTACCTGTATGGTTTGCCCAACCTCGATGCGAAGCAGCGTGCGCGAGTGTCGAACGCCAACAGGTTAGTGCGTGTCGTGTGTAGTCTAGCTCGTGAATGCAACAAATGTCGCGTTCCATGGGTCATAGAGAATCCTCGGACCTCCCGCCTGTGGCTTTTAGATGAGATACAGATTCTTGAGAGGAAAGCGTCCGCCGTTGTGCTAGATTACTGCATGTATGGGACGCCCTGGAGAAAGTGCACGCGTTTTGTTGGCACTCTCCCAGGTCTGGAATCGTGGGAGCGCCGATGTACGGGGAGAGTGTGTCGACGCACTGGCCACCGCCACCAGGCCCTCGAAGGCAAAGACGCCTCGGGTATTTTCTGGACCAGGCGGGCGGAGCCATATCCCACTTCTCTCTGCAAGGCTATATCCTCCTCTGTCGTCGCCTCCCTCCCTCCTCTCCTTCATTAGAACAGCTTCTGGTGCTGGGGGCGGGTTGTGGGCCCTCGCCGTCTGTGTACGTCTCATCGTGACAGTTTCGCTCGGGCCCAGTCTTTAGGCAGGCGATGCTTCTAGGTGGCATCTTGATATGATTCCAGTTTCTCTGGTCTTGGCATAAAAGGAGTGCTTGAAGGATGGGGTACTCTTGGTGCCTAGGCCGTCTCATACGTGCGTCGCCGTGGGCCTGTTTTCCGTTCCGCAATCCCACGGCTCAAGTTTTTTCAGGGTCCTCCTGCCTCCTCTCCTCCCCCACTTCCAACTGGGTTGTGGGCCCTCGCCGTCTGTGTGCGTCTCATCGTGACAGTTTCGCTCGGGCCCAGTCTTTAGGCAGGCGATGCTTCTAGGTAGCATCTTGATATGATTCCAGTTTCTCTGGTCTTGGCATAAATGATATATATATATATATACACACATAGACGTCGGCCCTGACTATTCTCAGGGCTGGGCCGCTCACTGGATGAGCCTCGGCCGCACCCGCTCTGGATCGACGGGGGGAGGTTGGATCGAGCGCCGCGCGCGGGGCCAGCCTCGGCAGGGCACGAGGGCGGGGCCGAAAGGCATGGATCGATCGGTTGATCGACCGAGTGCTCGATCGATCGAGCGATCTCGATCAGTCGATCGATCGACCGATCGATATCAAGCCTTTCGGCCCCTCAAGGCGGGACGTGCGAGAGCTTCAAGGCATGGAGGCACGCATGGCCCCCGTGCCCTGCCGAAGTTGTCTGCTTTACAACTCGAGCGTGATCGAGGCTGTCGAGTCGAGGGAGCAGGGGAAAGGCTTCGAAGTCCGACCCTGGATGCGAGCGCAGCCTTCTCGATCGAGGCCTTCGCCTGCCCCGCGCGGGCGCATGGATCCAGGCAGGAGGGAGGAGTGACACATTGCGAGGGGGAGGCCAGCGCGCTTCGACGCGGCGGCGCCTCCAATGAAGCAACGGGGGATCCGCCGATCCCCCGATTAATGAACGGCTCGAGGCTGGCCCAGCTTCCGCATCAATCCTTGGCGATTTCGAGGCCTTTCCTCGAGCCCAGCCTATGGGCAGCATTTCTTTTTTTGGAGGGGGAGGGGGGGGGGGGGGCGAAAGGCGACCGATCGACCTCGGCAAGGTCTTCTTCGTCTCCTCGGTCTCATTCTCCTCCTCGTTATTCCTCCTCATTAATGATTCTCTTGTTCTTCTCCTCATTCTTCCTGCTAATCGTTCTCCTCCTCCTCATCCTCATCATCATCATCATCATCATCATCATCATCATCATCATCTCTCTCTCCGTCAGCCTGGGGTAGTTCCGTGTACTTACACCACCATGGCCAACCACACACCCATGTCGAAGTTCACGCTCAGGGCGAAATCAATGGACAGCCAGCCCTCGAAACACAGCACGGGGACGTGGCCATCGCACAGGGAGTTCGCGTAAACGCTGAGGGCGACAGTATACACACTGCGTTCCAGCACATACCCCCCCACCCCACGCGCTGGTATCCCCCGCCTCCTGCGGAAGGGGTGCCCAGGGGGTGGGAAGGGCAGAGCGGATTCGCAGTATCGTACAGGTAGTCGTTGAGGACGGCAGTATACGCCACGCATTGCGTTCCAGCACATACCCCCCCACCCCACGCGCTGGTATCCCCCGCCTCCTGCGGAAGGGGTGCCCAGGGGGTGGGAAGGGCAGAGTGGATTCGCAGACGTGGCCATCGTGCAGGGAGTTCGCGTAGCCGTTGAGGACGGCCGCATACACCATATACATACGTTCCAGCACTACCCCCCCGCCCCACGCCCTGGCATCCCCCGCCTCCTGCGGAAGGGGTGCCCAGGGGCCCCGTGGGAAGAGCAGAGTGGATGGTCCACGTGCGTGCGAACCCCTGGCCCTGCACGAAGCTCTTGCACGTGGTGTGCATAGCATGTACCCGCGGCCCACGGGGGACTCGAAGCTTGGATCCGAAGCGGCTCGAAACTGAGACCGATCTCGATGAGCTTCAGAGAGGAATTTGATTTTGAGCGGGTCCGAGGGAATCCAAAACAATTGACATGTATATACGCAGAGCCATTGACCAGAATTCGGGCCAACAATTTCGAACCCCAACACTTCTGACATCGAGGCGTTGAAGAGGTCCGAACGCTTTGACACGCGAAATCTCGCACATCGAGCGCGGCCTCAGAGAGGGCCGAACATCTCGAAACGCGAAATCTTGGACATCGATCGGCCTATGGGATTCTCGTTCCTCCAAGGGGTGGGGTGGTGGGGTGGGGAGGTCCTCCGTAAATTCCCGCCCGCCTCCGCCGATGCATAAGAACGGGGACGAAACGAAGAACAAGGAACGAGGCAAGACGATATCATGTTAATCCTCCGCTGCTCCCCCGCCTCCAGAGAGGGACCCTCATCCTCGATCCTCGGTCCTCTCCCTCAGCCGCCGTGCTCATCTGTCCTGCTCGGTTGTCTGACGTCCAGCACCACATTGCATCTTCCCTGGTTTTTTTTTTCACACATGGCAACTGCATGGTATCACTAGCAAAGCTCGGGAATCACCTTCTCGAGGAACGAGTAGTAAAACGTGCTGCCATGGTGCAGTGACTTTGCCACTGCACCCATGGCTCTATTATCTGACTCGTCACAACATGTCCACTTCAGTTTGGGATTCCCCTGGCGCCTGGAGCGGGCCACTACATGTACGCACATGTGGTGTTTGAATATTTCCTGGCCACCCCACGCTTTCCAGTACGCCAAGTATTTCAGCATCGAAGTCTCGAAAATGCGCTGCTGGACGTCAGACAACCGACGCGTGTATTCCTTCAAGCACTTGTGGAATACATTCAGCTCCCTAACAGTTTTTTTTTCTATTTTTTTTTTTCTTTTTCTGTTTTTTTTTTTTTTTCTCTTTTTCTTCCCTTTAAACTTTTCTTTTCTTATCCCTTGTTTTTTCATTTCTCCCTAACAGCATGTGGCAAGAACACGTCCGTACCATTAGTGAACAACGATGCGTTCTCTCTGATCACGGCTTCGCAAAAGGGGACCAAATGTTTCGTCTCCGCTGCCTTCGCATGAAGACGTGGCCAGTTGACATCACCGAGCATCTTTAACGTTAATTTTTCAATTCTGCTCTGGCTTCCTCGGGGGTGTGCTGCCTTCTGCTGGATATACCATGACTTGAGCCGCCGTCTCAGATGAACTATGTTGTGCGATCGGCGTATTGCAACAGTGCTTGCACGGCTCAGCGCAAAGTTATGCTCGATCAATTGCATCAGCACTGCTCCTACAAGGAGCTGGCTGATGCCGAGGTCCACTATGTGCATGAGGTCCAGCGCCAGCATTTCAATATTAAAGCCCAGTACTGTGAATATCAATGCTACATGCATCAACCCAACCTGGTTACAAGAATCAAAAAATGTAAATTCCGTTGGAAATACGCTCTCGTCTAAATCTAAAACCTTGTGTGTGTCGTGCACTACGCCGGCCTGGATGAGACGGTGACCCTTCCGAAGGCCCAAGGGAGGGAAAGCCGTCCATAGGCCGTACCCTCCGATTTCAGCATCGTGGCGCATGCATTGCACAAGGCGACTCAGCATGGGCTTGTCAGGAATCGTGACCTTTGTAACTGATGCCGCAACCATCGCATCATATGCGGCTGCGTCTTTATCAACCCATGTGCATGAATCTATCGTCCGAGGGTATCTGAAGAGCTGTTCCCTGGTAGCGGAGCACATGAAGCACGGCGTGTGCTCGTGGTCCCAGCGGCGGAACCCCAGGGAAGTTTGGAATTCTAGGAGATCTGCTCTCATCTCCACCAGGGCTCCGTGGAGCCCTGATGCTATCTCGAATCCTCGCCTCGCCGCTCGTATCTCGTTTTTGAATGGAGCGTTGTTGTGGTCCAGAGCTGGGAATATACCTAAAGCTAACGTGTTTAACGACCAACATATTACTCGCATGATACTTTCAATAGTACATGCGCCGCGGCAGCCGCATCGGCAACAATCCGATTTTCGGACTGCTGCTATCAAATGCCTCTCATTGGGTACGCAATTGTTCCAATACCATACTATGAAGGAATCTCGTTTCGTGCGTGGCACCCCGTCGCTGTAAAAACCGATCGGGAAGCTTTTATGTCCAAATCGACGGGTCACCTCATGATTGGCATAATGAATGGGCAGCTCGTCCCGTGGCACTGCAGTCAAATCGAAATCACCTGGCTTGGATTCATAACTGTGGTGGAAGGTCTCATGAGGGAGGGAAAAGGGGAATTCTACGTACATGCGTTTCTCTGCCGTCCCATCC